ACTGGTTTTCAAAGCCAGAGTTGTGGTGACTTCTCTCCCTGGCACTGGCACTTTGAGCTGGGGAGTCTGGTGTGGGGCTGGGACTCCTTGCTTCTCTGGGAACCTCTGCAGCTGAGATATCCCTCCCTATTTTTAATGGTCACATGCAGGTGTGAGACTAGCCTGTTTCACATCTGTACCCCTCCTAACAGCCTCAATGTGGCTTCTTCTGTAAGTCCTTAGTTATAGGACTTCTGTTTACCTTGACTTCAGGTGACTCTCAATTGTAGTGGTTCTGTAGTTAGTTGTAATTTTGATACAGAGCTTACCTACTCCACCATCTTGACCAGACGCCTATACCATTGTTTTTAACACTATGTTCAGGAAAACTCTAAAATTCTTCAGGTGTGCCTCAGCTTTGCTTTCTAACAGAAAAGTTTTTTTGTTTGTTTGTTTGTTTCATATGTTGGGCTTTGTCTAAGAGTTCATCCATTTAATTATTAGTCTTGTGATAAAGAGCTCAGGCTCTCTAATGAGACTATAGATTTGTATACCTGCTCTGCCAAGAGTCATTTTGGAACCTTGAATAGGTTACTCTACCTCTGTGTGCTTTGGTTTCCTCATCTGTAAAGTGGAGATAATAATAATATCAACTTCATAGGGCCTTTGTCAGAATTAAATGAGACAGTACATGTACATTATCTAGAATTGCACTTAGTGTCCAGTAGGTGTATGGAACTTTGAATGTAAGTGGACATTTACGACTGTTGGATCATTTTGTTTAAGTAAACTGAGAGAATGAAAGGAGTAAAGTGGAGTGAGGGATTGGGGCTAGAAGAAAAGATTTAGTGCCTGTCTTTCAATGTCCAGCTCATAAGTTCATAACAAATTTAGCTTATTAAAGATCACAGGAGAAAGGCTGTTACAGAAAGAAAGATTTTTATGTGTGTCTTAAGGCTTCAGGATACTACTGAAAAAAAGTTTATTTCAGCCTGTTCTAGACTAGGGTTGTTTCAGAAAGCCTAGAAAATAGATTTTCCTAGAAACATTTAAGGAAGCTGATCAAGTAATTAGAAAGTCTGTGATTCTTCATAATTAAGTGAGGGCCAGCCGAGTAGCTCAGTTGGTTAAGAGCACAAGCTCTGAGCAACAAACAGTGTCTCTGGTTCGATTCCCACATGGGCCAGTGAGCTGCACTGGAGCTGAGCTGCCGCTGAGCTGCCAACAGGTGACAGAATGGCTCAGCTGGTGAGAGCATGTGCTCCTAACAGCCGGTTCGACTCCCGCATGGGATGGTGGGTTACTCCCACCCGCAACTAAGATTGAACATGGCACCATGAGCTGAGCTGTCCTGTGCTACCAAAGGGCGGCTGGATGGCAACTGGACTTGGAGCTGAGCTAGCTACATCCTCCACAACTAAGACTGAAGGACAACAACTTGGCTGTTCCCTTTCCCCAATTCTCCAATAAAATCTTACGGAAAAAAAAAGACTTGTATCTGAGGAAATTGTTTCTTAAAAAAAAAAGTTAAGTGAGAAACACAGTAGTTTTATGTAGTAATGAAACATGGCTTAAAATAGCCTGAGTACAGATAACAAGTAATCACAATCAAATTGTAAAAATTCAACATTTGTGTTGGGGGTTATGAGTTAAAATTTTAATTTTGCGGTCTTTTTTAGTTTATTTTGCTTGAGAAAAGAATTAACTAATTTATGTTTTAGTAAGTTATTTAAAAAATGTATGTTATGTTAGGTAAACATAAGCCATGGCATATTATTTCCTGATGTTTGTTTGTCCTAACGGCTGTTTCTAAATCACTGTGTCACTCAAACTTTTAATGACACAGATCACTTGTGGTGACAAAAGTAGCCAAAGGTATATCTAGGAAGGCGGCATTTAAAAAAATCCTTTTTGAAGGCATCTGAATATTGATGATAGCTATCAAACTGTTATCTGGTATTCTTATATATTAAATATATATTTAAGATTAATGGAAAAGAAGAAAAGAAGGCATTTTAACAACAAAAGAATTTCCAGGAATTCAAATTTTAGTCAATTCATAGAATCAATGGAAGAGATCTGAAGCTAAGTCTAGAAATAAGATGTGGAAGAGTTGGCTGTTTCTAAAATGGAAGTTATATTATAGGCTCATATTCTGTACCAGTAGAATTCTAAACCAACCAATGATTTTCCTGTTTCTAAAGAAGAAGTCACATTTAGAGCACTCAAACAACTTATACCCATGGAGAACCAATTTCCAAAAAGATCAAAATTACTGAAGCATTCTTTGAGTCAGCATGGCTTCCAACATTTGGAAATTAAGATTATAATATAAATTAATAATTATATTATATATAATGGGTTAATATATATTTATCAATATATTTGTTATATATAATTTTAGGATTGATTGCTAAAAGATAGGTTTTAGCACCCCTAGGTCCAGCTGTCTGATTTTACAGGTGTGCAGTGACTGGGAAACTAAATGACTTGCCTGAGATTGATTAATTATTGTCAGGTTTGATATAATAATCTGGCCTTTCAGTGGATCCTCTTTCTATGCACCATGCTTTCATCATGTTATTTTTTTTTTAGAATAATTAATTTTGCCTTGGGTTTTCTTGAACTTTTACTTTGACACATTGTTATGACGTGTGTGTCTTCTCGAGAAGATGGATCAACAGTTTTCTTTTTGCATCTGCTCATTTACTCATTGAATCAAGTGTGTGATGAAGGTGAAATAGCACATAAGCATAAATGCAGAAGCTATGAGAAGATCACATTAACATGCTCTCATAACATGTGTATTCATAATTTGACAGATCTTAGTTATATACTCTTTTAGAATATCTGGTTACTGGATAATAATTCCTGGAGAGATGGTTTGTGTAGGATATTCTAAAGTCTTGTAACATGATAAATTTCAAATTCTGAGTTTTTATACAGCTGTGGGGGCCACAGTAAGAAACAAAACTTCTTCCTGAAATAAGGAACTTCTTTTAAAAATCAAATTTATTCCAATAAACAAAATTTAGTGTGAATTTTGCATGTTTCCCAAAGATTTTGTTGTAATCAGATGTTTATTATAAATTCTTCCAGTGATGTCTTGAAATTGAGTATTGAAGCAGCAGTTGGTTGTGCTGTTCTACTAGTTGACCTGATGAAATATCAAAGCTGTTAGGAATTACAGTTAATCAACATTATGAATTATTCTTACAATTTTTTAATCACAGGCTTTCTTTTAGCATTATACACGTTTCTCAACCATTTTTCTGCATCTGTTTCCCTCCATGCATCTATTTTCCATCTTTTCCATTGGTAGAAATGCAGAATAATTTTAATATGATCATATCTAAAATATTATTAGTCAAATATGCTTTAAATGGTGTATTCCAAAATCAAATACATTCTGTGATGAATCTTTTATGGTGCCCACTTTGCTTCCCTCCCTCCCACCCTTCCTGGCTTTCTCTCTCCCTCTTCCCCTCTCCCCTCTTCTCTCCTCCTTCCCTCCCTTCTCCTCTCCTCTTTCTTTCTCATCTTGGGACTGCATGAGAAACAGGAGGGAAAGCACTGAGGGACAAGATGCCATGGATTAGAGAGTTTTAATGGTGTAAAGGAATGAGAGAGTCATAGGACTTTAGAGATACTAGAAATTAAGAGAGAATACCCGAGTTGAATAAGTTGCTGTGTGTTAAGACTTAGACACCACTATCTTCAATCCCCATGCTTAAATATTTTATGAGTAAAAACTGAAATTTTCATCCATACATACATGTTTAAATGTGATTCTGATCAGAATGTGGACTAGGGATATGGCTTTATGAGTGTAAGATCACTTGAATTTCATTAATTAAAATAGGAATCAGGTTGACATTCTATTTTTTTTATTGCCTTTGTCTTAGTCATTAGGCCTCTGCTAAAATATTATCTTCATAGATAAAAGTATGTATAGTGTGCTACTTTTTATCTAAAAAGAGAGGGCACACACATATGTATGTGTTTGTATGTGTATGTGTGTTTGTGTGCTTATACATATTCACACCCATACAGACATACACCTATCAGTTTATAATCTGAAATAACAGAAGAATAAACCATAAAATAAAAAAACCCAAATGGCAATTCTCCAAAGTGATTAACACGTTAAGCGCCATGGCAGTCACTGGTGACTGACGCTATACTTTCCGTTCGGACCGCATTAGTCACTGGTGACTGACGATATACAATTTAAAAAATTATATTCTTCTATTAGGAAAATTAATTTCACTTGAATCGCTTTCACATGTTTCTTCTACTGACGTTGTCACTGTTACGGGTAAAGAAAAAAATTTTAAACTGCACTGGAACACGAATCACAGACAACTGACTGAAGAGAAAGCATATTGGTGAAATCGGATATTGCGGGCTAAACGGAAAGGAAGACAAAACAGGCTTGGCGCTTAACGTGTTAAACCATTTTCACTCGCACTATAATGTATGAGAGTTTCATTTGCTCCATATCCTCCCCATCTGATGGTGTCAGTCTTTTTTATTTTAACTTTTGGTGAGTATGAAATGTTATCTCATTGTGATTTTAATTTGCATTAAATCATGTTGAGTTCTTTATACATGTACCTATTTGCCATTCTTGTATCTTCTTTATGAAATGTCTATTCACTCTTGCGCCCACTGGGAAGGGGTATTAGTCTTTCTGTTTTTGACTTGTATTGGGTCGTCGGGAAAGTCATGACATATTTTTCTATGTTTTTCAATACAAAAATGCGTCATAACTTTCATGACCCAATAGTAATTTATGTATATTCTGGATATATTTTCTTTGTCAGATATATGTGAAAATATCCTTTTGCTTCTATTTAACAATAACAAAAGGATATTAATAGAATAGAAGGCATTGATACATTTAATAGTTCTAAACTGGCAATTTTGCGAGGAAATTAAAGTGATTAGTATTTAAATCATAGACTTTACAGTTTAAAATTTAAAACAAAAATTACATTCTGTTCTGTTTTTGGTTTCAGGTACAGTTAAAAACTAGCATTTCTAGTCAATATGTAATTCGGACACAACCAACTAATAGGTGCCTTTCTACACTGGAGTGTGCAGCTGTTGCTCTTTCCATCTTGGAGAAAAATAATGACATACAAGAGGTGTGTATGTGTTTGGAAGGTTATGTAGTTTTTGAAAATAAGAATTTGGTTAGATTTTATCTAGAAAATTTAGAAATGCATAGCTTATTACATTTGTAGTTCATTGACACGTAGAATGTATCTGTGATAGAAATTTGTTTATTTTTTTATTACGTTCTTTCCCCCCTCTGGTGTTTTTCTGTGTTAATTTAGCATTCCACATTGCATTATTTAAATATTTGTTCTAAGCTGTGCAAACAGCATTTGTAATATGCTAAATTGCTTTTATGTATTACATCATTAAATAGCTTTTTGTGGCACTAGATTTTTTTTTAATATTTTGTATTTCTCTTTTAGTATTTTTTTGTGTTTTTTTGTACTCGCCTTTTTCCTTTTTAATGAAAAGATGAACATTTTAACTTTTTTTTTTTGCATTGATTCTTTTATTTGAAGAGGTATACCAACTTCTTGTGTATCTTATTAGCCATGCTTGGAGTGTAAAAAAATATATAATTTTTTGAAAAAAACGCCTGCAGAATATGAAAAGGTTACAACCTGCAATCATCATTTTATTTAATTTCTATGAAAGCCTGATGATTTAATATATAATTAATATATCAGTAAAGAAGAATGTTTCAGTGTGCTCATTAACATCTCAGTCTTTTGGAACATGTAAGAAACTGCACTTAGGGCAAAAGAAAAAAATAGCAATATAAAACTTAAATTGTTTGGGTTTTTCAATCACTGAAAAATTTTTATAAATACAATTCAAAAAGAAAGTCAGAGGATAATGAACATAATTAAATGAAGTTTTATATTTTCCTCCTCTCTCGCTCATTATACCCTGTGGTTACTATTATAAGAGTGTGCCTTAGCCGTGAAAGAAATTTCAATAATGGATAAAAGCTAAGGTCAGAGTAACTGGATGAGCAACCAAGAAAAAGAACAAAAGGCCTCCAGAGCAAGGAGAGTTAAAGAATGCCAGAAACAAGCAGTGAATTGTCTTTTCATCTCCCCTACCCTAAGCCATGGAAAATGTCAGAGTTGGAGACGTTTCTTCTTTTGATGAAAGAAGTAGGATTTCATGAATAGGCATGTGTGTGTGTGTGTGTGTGTGTGTGTGTGTGTGTGTGTGTGTGTGTGTGTGTGTGTCCCTCTGTGAGTACACTTTGTTTTGGATCTAGGCAATTTCTCTTTCTCTGTTCTCTCTCCTTTGAGAAAAAAAATGCATGAAGGATTCTAGATTTTTATCCCAAATGACCGGGGGTGCTCTCAGACTTTTCTCCTTCCTCTCTAATCTTATCACCTACTTCCATGTACCTGGCCATCAGCATAACACTTAATATACCCCTATACTTGTCTTTATATATTATTTATTCACCATCATTCCTGTATGTTCCTGAGAGAAAAAAAAACAAAAAACTACACTATTTTTAGCTGTCTTAAAAGAAAGATGAAACCCAGTGCTATTGTTTGAACTTGCTTTCCATACAGTCTCTGGTTTTTCCTCTTTGTTGATGTAAAACTCGAGGATCAGCCAACATCAGACCTAGGACCCATTAAAAGTTCAAATCTTTAGGGAAAAATATAATATGTTTTTGCTATAGATTTAAAACTTACTTCTCCTTCTTTTTGGTTCTGAAGAGAGTCCTCTGAGGACTTATTTTATATCTCTTAGTCTCACAATTGAATTGGATTTTTAGTACAATCATAAATAGAAGCTTTAATGTTGGTAGTGGTGGTGGTTTAATGAGAGCAGTTGTAATAATAGGGCTAGGGTTTGGGATGGGGTTTGGACTACTACTAATGTTGTTACTGTTCCCCCCTTTCCCAGTTTAAGATATATTATTCTAGTATTAATTAATATACCATCATAGCAGGACACCTGTCTTATGTTCTGAATGTAATATCTAACAGGCAAAGTTTAAGATATGGTGACAGGACCCTTCGTCTCTTCAGCTTAGATTGTCTGTGGATCAAATTGAGTATAAATTGCCAAAGTAATAGTGAGGTTCTAGAGTTCTCATTGTGTTTGCTTTTGGCACCAAAAGTAGTCATCCTATAGTGGCCAGGAATAGGAAAAGGATGTTTGACAATCAGAGACGTTTGATTTGGGAGGTGCTGATAAAATGGTTGATGGGAGCATGAGCAGAAGAAATCCATAATGAAACATCCCCAGTTGCTTATTATTACAGATTAGCTTTCTAGTGGGGGAGCCCCAGTCTAGCCTGTTCAAATCTAGCTATAATTAAAAAAAAATTAGTACATTCCTGTGAGAAACACAATTAGTGTCTGCTCTGAGCATAGGTGTTTTTCTTTTATGGGGAGACATACATTTCCCCCCCAATAACCATTTATTAATTGCATCCTCATAAAACATTAATATAATGGAGAGTAGTAATTTTTCAGCTGGCTTTGTTCTGTAGAGGTAAGGCTCCTCAAAATAAAGAATTTGGCATAGAATAGCCTTCAAAGTCTGTTGATTCATCCTCATCCTTTATTCTACAGCAGTTTTTCGAACACTTGGAAGTAGCATGATAGGAGCTTTGAAGCAGGTTTGAAATAAAGCTTCATCACTTAATCATCATCACTTTTTGCCAGTGGACAGTTCATGTAATCGCTTTATGCTTGTCTTCTTATCTGTAATATTAAAAAAATAATAATTACCTCGTAGTATTGTTGTGAGAATTGAATGGGGTAGTGTGTGTTGGTTGCCTCACACCAGACACTTAAGAATAGTTAACCCTTTTGCCCTACCTTGCCCCTCTGATTCTTGCCGGTAGAGTGACGAGCATTTTGATATAAAAGTTGGCGATTTTCATTCCACTACAATATTTACCAGGGCTTTTTCATACCTTGGAAGCCTTGAACTTGGGAATCTATTTTAGTTGTAGACCCTTTCCTACTTATGAAATTTTACCTTATGAACTTTTTTTTAATTTTCAGGTTTATTTTTAGGGTGCTAAATGCAGTTTTTTGTCTCTTTGTGGATTTATTTATTATTTACATAGATTAGTTTCAGGTGTATGAAACAATGTAATCATTAGACATTTACACCCCTCACAAAGTGATAACCCCCCCGCCCCCAATCTACTACCCCTCTGACATCATATATAGCTGTTACAGTTCCACTGACTCTTTTCCTTGTGCTGTACTCCACATCCTGTGACTATAGTTGACATTCAGTATTATTCAGCTTCAGCTTAAGGTGTATGGTGCAGTGGTCAGGCATCTACACAGTCTTATGAACTTTTGTTAATTAGTTGTGGCAAAACTTTGTGCCACAGACTAAGTGCCTTAGTTCTACCCAACACCAGTAGTTGGTAATAATGGTCCCTTGAAAGCTGTCACTTTGTACCTACAGAGAAAAGGAAAAATGAAACAGTGATTTCCCCCCCAAATAAACTTTTAGAAACTAACTTATTTTATAAGTAGAGGATTTCTCTTGTTCCTCTGAACTATTCCATCTTTCATGTAGTTTCTCACATTGCCTCATATATATCATGTTATTTATTTATATAGAAATGTTATTATTTAGTATCAAGTAGTGTGCCAAATACTTTAAATGCATCATCTTAGTGTACCGTGATAATGACTTTGTAAAGTAGACATTATTTTCCTCATTTTTACAGATGAAGAAAATGTGGCAAAGAGAGGTTATATAACTTACCTGTGAACACATAGTAAGTCATTGCATCAGTCAAGATAGGCCAGGTTAGGCTACAGTAATGTAAAACTCCAAAATCAGGATGGCATAACACAACAAAGGTTTATGTCTCTCTCATCTGTCTGTCCAGTGGGGTTGCCAGGGGTACTCTGCTTATTGTGGTCACTTAGGGACCCAGGCTGATGGAGGCATGTCTAGACATGTCATTGTACTTTCTTCAGGGAAGGAATAAGTGGAGGTGGTGAGTTGTATACTACTTTTAAAGCTTCTGCCCAGAGGTGGCACACGTTGTTTGTGCTCACATTTCATTGACCAAAGCACCTTACGTAGCCAGCCTAACTTCAGAGGGGGCTGGAAAATGCAGTCTGATCATGTGCCAAGGAGGAGGACTGGCGCATTTGTGAATAGCCCTGGTGCCTACCACAGGGATGGAGCGTGGATGTAATCCAGATCTGCCTATCTCCAAAATTCATTCTCTTAATTACCTTAGAAAATTGATAGGCTCTTATCTTCAGGAGGCAAAAGTTGGAGGCCCTTAACCACAGGAATATTAGTATTTCTCCTGCTTATAAAGAGTTTAATAAATGTCATAAGCCAGCAGTAGAACCTTCAATTGCCTCCATCTGTGTATAGTCCTAGATATGTTTCTTAGGCACGCTGCTTCACAATCCAGTCAGTCCACTATGTTGACTCTGTAAACTAATATGTAGTCATTTCCACATTTCCTCTTTCTTTGAAGATATTAAAAGAAATGATGAGAACATATACCAGGGGCTTTCTACAGTAATGTCAAGCAGGGTTTTACCAGGACAGCGTCTATCCCTTGTTGAATATCAGTTAGGAATGACATTTGGTTGCGTGTAACACAGCACTTACTGCAGTGGTTGAACCAGGCAGTAGTTGCTTTTCCTCCTGTAAATAAGACATGCAGAGGTGAGCATACCAGGGCTGGGGATGCAGGCTGAAAAGGATATCCGAGACCCAGATTTTTCCTGTCTTTTCTGTTCATCATCATATATGTTTGGTTTTGATCTTTATGTTTATTGCCTTGTAATCACATGATGGTTATTCTACCTGTAATAATCATGTTCCAGGCAAGAATAAAGAGTAAAAGCCTATGCCTAAGTGTGTCCTGTTTTAAAGAGTATCTCTGAAAGCCAAGGACTTCACTAACATCTCATTTGATAGGTTGTGTCATTAGCAAATGTAATATTCCTAGCTGGACACATTGCCACCTTGAATAAAATTTTGCCTTTTTTTAATAAGGAGGAAAAGAGTGGAAATGAAGAAGCAACTATCAGTGACTGCCACAATTTGTAAGGGTTCATTGTAAATTAAAGCTATTAAGCCCTTTTCTACCACTTACGTTGTATTTGTGGGGGAATAAATTTTCACAGACATTGTGAAATTTTTGTAGTTAAATCCATCAGTTTTTTTCTTTATTCCTTTTTTTTTTTTTTTTTTTTTTTTTTTTTAGCATTCTGCTCAATCAAGTTGGTGCTATTGTTACTTAAAAGATTTAATTTCAATCAGAGGTCTCTCAGGCCCAAAGAAAGAACCTAACTCAAAATATGTTTAAAACACTACTATAGTATTTTTATTTAATTGTTTTTTAATTTGAATAGTTTTAGGAAAGGCATATGCTTCAGTTGTTTTATAACCTCCAACATTCTCTGTTTTCTTATGGGTCCACCTAGTTCGCATGTAAGTGTTAAATGACTGACCCTATAGGTATTTGAATTTAGATGGTTCGTACACAGAATTATTTCAAATGTACCAAAATCTGAATATCTAACTTGTATGTGGTCCATAGACTAGTGTGAATTAGTAAGCCACCACATTACTGCCATCATTTAATTGTTATCAGGTAGCAGGACGCTTGCATCAGCCTGTGCTTGAAACTGAATTAACTAATCTTTATGTAAAGGTCTCTTGTAGTCTGCTTATTACAGATTAAATTATTATAATGCCAACAGTTTTTCATGGTGTTTGAAAATATTAATGTGTAAAACTAAATTCAGACTTTATCATCTATATGGAAAATAGATTTGTGTCTTTTTACTGGAGTTACTTAGTGGTATATAAGGTATTAATTTACATAAATTATTTAGATATCATATATTTATTAGAGTACTTATAGCTTTTCATAGTTAAAAGCCAATAATAATAATAATATAATAATAATAATAATATTAAAGGTAACCCTTGTTTCTGAAGAAAAAAATCTGGATAGAATATCACTCGTCACAGACACTTTTTTTAGTTTTTTTTTTTTTTTTTTTTTTACAGACTTTGCTTCGCCCTCTCCAAGCTTTGTGCTCTTTCCAGCTCCAGCATGGCGCTCAAATTCGCCTCAGCAAGGAACACCTTCTGAGAAATGGATTATATCCTAAGCCGATGCCAAAGAACAAACGCAAACTCAGGAAAATGGAGCTGTTAATGAACAGTGTTAAAATTTAGTACAAATGTTCTTATGGTGCTATTTATGGTGTCTTCAGCTGACAATACCAGGTTAAGTTTTCATACAGTTTAAATCTGTGTGTTTTTTGACTGTCTAAAGAACAAGCATTGCATACCAAACTTGCCCTAAAGAAGGATATAAATCAAATAGCCATAAAAGCTAAAAAAAAAAAAATTACACCGACTCAGTAAAAAGCAAAATTTTATACTGAATTTGTTTTAAAAAAAATGTGCCTCTAATACATTTTTTCAGATCCGTGATTTGAAATGTGATTAGTTGTAGAGCTGGGTTAGATCTTCTTGTTTATAAAATGGAAGGAAATTGTTGTGCCTGATTGGGACAGTATGTTTCCATTACTATTTTATAGATAATTACATGTAGCTCTATAATAGAGGATACCTATATCAATTTGCAATAGTGTACATGAACTTTATAGTTTGAAATAAGTAACAAAAGGAAATAATGATAAGTAGTTTAGATCGAACTTACATGTTTTATAAAATGGTATAACAGTGTAAGGAAAGTAAGTACTCTTTAGGGACCAAACTTGAACTCAGTTAATGTGATTAAATGTTCTGTTAATGCCCCTAATTTTTTTATTAAGGTATAATTGACATATAACATTATATTAGTTTCAGGTATACAGCACAATGATTCGATGTTTATATATTGCAAAATGATCACCACAGCACATCTAGTTAACATTCGTCACGATAAATAGTCACATTTTTTTTTCTTGTGAGAACTTTTAAGATTTCTTCTTAGCAACTTACAAATATTCAGTACAGTATTGTTAACTATAGTCACCATGCTGTACATCGTATTCCAAGGACTTATTTATATTATAACTGGAAGTTTTTACCCCCTTTGCCCATTTTGCCCACCCTGAACCCCCATCTCCGGCAACCACCAATCTGTTCTGTGTAGCTATGAGCTTTTTTTTTTTTTTTAATGATTCCACATATAAGTGATACCATATGGTATTTGTCTTTTCCTATCTGACTTATTTCATAACTTAGCATAATACCCTCAAGGCCCATCCATGTCACAAATGGCAAGATTTTGTTCTTTTTATGGCTGAATAGTATTCCATTGTGTGTATATATTTACGTATCACATTTTATTTATGCATCCATCTATTGATGGATACATAGGTTGTTTCCCTACCTTGGCTGTTGTAAATAGTGCTATAATGAACATGGGGGTGCACATATGTTTTTGAGTTACTGTTTTCATTTTCTTCAGATAAATACCCAGAAGTGGAATTGCTGGATCATATGGTAGCTCTATTTTTAATTTTTTGAGGAACCTCTATACTGTTTTCCATAGTGGCTGCACCAATTTATATTCCCACCAACAGTGTACTAGGATTCCCTTTTCTTCACATCCTCATCAACACTTATTTCTTGTCTTTTAGGTAATACCCATTCTAACAAGTGTGAGGTGGTATGTCATTGTGGTTTTGATTTGCATTTCTCTAATGGTTAGTGATTTTGAGCATCCTCTCATGTACCTATTGGCCATTTGTATGTCTTCTTTGGAAAAATGTCTATTCAGGTCCTTTGCCCATTTTTTAATCAAATTGTTTGCTTTTATGCTATTGAGTTGTATGAATTTTCTGTATATTTTGGATATTAGCCTCTTACCACATATATGATTTGCAAATATTTTTCTCCAATTCTGTAAGTTGCAACTCATTTTGTTGATGGTTTTTGTTGTTCATTTTGCTTTGCAGAAGCTTCTTAGTTTGATATAGTCCTACTTGCTTATTTTTGCTTTTGTTGCCTTTAGTTTTGATGTCAGATTAAAAAATATATATATATATATATATTGTCAAGACCTATGTGAAAGAGCTTACTGCCTATGTTTTTTTCTAGAATTTTTATGGCTTCAGGTCTTACATTCAAGTCTTTATTCCGTTCTGAATTAATTTTTGTGTATGGTGTAAGATGGTGGTCCAGTTTTATTCTTTTGCATTTGGCTGTCCAGTTTTCCCAACACTATTTATTGAAGAGACTGTCCTTTATTCTGTGGGGCTAAAAAGTAATACGTTTCCTCCTACCTTCTAAATTCTAGCTGGTTAATAATCAAATTAAAAGAGACAGAGTAACAGGGGGAAAATCAAAATTTAAATACATGCACATGGGGAATTCACATAACCATGAAAATTCCAATGACAGTGAGGCAACGTTGGGTGTTTGGGTGTGTAAGACATTTTTGGACAAAAGAGAAAGGGGATGATGAGGTATTAGAATTTAGAAGTGAGAATGGGTGATTTACAGGTATTCGAGGAAGAGTGAAACACGCATGGCAGGCAAATTCTTGCTGGGCAACTCAGAAACAATGGGACATGAGGTACCTAGATAACAGGCCCCTGCCTGGTGTCCTCTTATTTTCCATGCTTAATTCAAATTAGGCTAAGGCAGCATTCTAAGATTTCCTTTCCGAAGCAGGTTTCTCTGACTGAATCTCTTGGGCAGGAAATGGGAGAGAGTCAAAAGTTCTTTGTGAGGTTTGTTTCTTAAGAAACAGCTGAAAATCAATATCCCCAAAACCAGCTTCAGGGTGGCAAAATTTTGGTTCCCTTCAATCCATTGTATATGCTTGGCTCCTTTGTTGTAAATTAATTGATCATGTATGTGTGGGTTTATTGCTGAGCTCTCTCCTGTTCTGTTGATCTGGGTGTTTTTATGCCAGTACCATACTATTTTGATTACTATAGCTTTGTAAGCTAGTTTGAAGTCAGCAAGCACGATGCCCGCATCATTGCTCTTTTTCTCAAGATTGCTTTTGCTATTTGGGGTCTTTTGTTCTATATAGATTTTTAGGATTGTTCTAGTTCCGTGAAAAATGCTATTGGTATTTTGATAGGAATTGCATTGAATGTATAGTTTGCTTTGGGTAGTAGCCCTAATTTTGAAGTAGCACATTTTTTTATTTGTAATCATTCTGGATAAGTTTAAAATTTTCAGTGTTCACTGCACAGGTTTACTGACTCTGATAGACTAGTTTTACTGAAGTTTTCATATGAAATAACTGAAGTAGAATATAATACAACTGTAATTTCAGGAACATATTTCTGTAACGAGGTCTATTGAAAACTTTTTTTGTGGGCATAAATTTTCAATTTGAGAGAATAAATTTCCCCCGTCTCCTTGGTAAAATATTTCCTGAGATTTTGTATAGAATAAGAGACATGTATATAATATATATTTATATCTAACTTAAATCTGCTGCAGTTATGTACACATTTTGACAAGAAAAGGGGACTTTATTTTATTCTTCAGGACTTCTAGATTTTACAGTCTTTAGTTGTAAGGGAAAACTAAACATGTGATTTAAAAGTAAGCTTGTATCATATATATATATATATAAAATATATATAATATATATACATATATATATGTATATATATAATACATGAACATACACCAGTGGATATTTCTGACCATTTTCATCCTTTATTAGTTTATTGCACTCTTATTAAAAGCTTTAATGTTGATCATAATTAAAATGCTAATGAATGTTTGGGGAAACTATGCAGAAAATATTTTAAAATATTAAAAGTTAGATTTCTGTCTTCTGTTGACTTTTCTTGGATTTAAAAACAAGTTAGCTCATATATAATCTAAAAAACCTATTATCAAATTGTTATCTAGGTATAATAAAAATGAATTAGAATATAATGTATAATGGTTTCTTAGCAAACTTTTTTAAAAAAGAAAGTTTCTACAGAAGATGCTATTTAAATCTTAAAATTTTACTTTAATTTGTGTTGACATTTTTAGAATAATTACTACTTTTAAATACTGTATTTTAGGGTATTTTTTTGAACACTTAACAAAGTTTAAAATTTAGTGGTTTTGGAAATGTTTACAATTTTTAGAAGAAAATATATATAGTTATTCAAATTATTTACCGACCTCCTAAATTATTTTACTAATTTCTTGTTATTAACCTCTTAACAATATGATTCCATCTACTCTTCTGTAGTATACATTACTTGTTTAGTTACTTACTCTCGTTAAGCAGTTTTAAAAAATTGTTATTGATGTTTTCAGTTAATAAAAATCCTTGAAAGTATGTAGTATTTTGTGAGGCTTTTAACTAAAAATTCAATCTGGCTTTTAAAAGTTGTTACTTTTTTGTCATATTAGTTGGCTTTTGAATTCAGATGCTCTATTTTTACTTGATTTGCCTGGACAAGTTTCAGGTTTTGTGGATTTGTAACCCATAGTAGGCTTTAGTATACTCTAATTACACTTTGTGGGCTGATTGTTTTGTGAATTATTTAAACCATGTAACTCAGAGGACAGTATTCTGTTACATACAGGGAGACTGTGCGTTTAGTTAGTCCATTTGTAGTGGGTTGAAAGTCACTGTGTAACGTGTGATATTTTGAGAGTTTCTTACACATATGTATATAAAGAGTTGAGAACTACACTATAAAAAATGAGTTACAGTGCTTGCCAGCTTTCTATACCTTGGATTATAAGATTTCTTATGTGGAACATGAAAGTTATATTAGGAAAAATTATGTTTCCCCGCTTTAAGACTCCTAACCCATTTTTTCTTAGTCATGACCATTACAATTTTAGGTTTTTTTCTAAAGAGTTTGGAAAGAGCAGGCTCCTCACTACCACCATTGTTAGTGAATTATGTAGAAGAGCACTTCTATATAACCCCTTCAGTTTCTTCATCACATATTCCCATTTATTGCCCCAAATTGACTGTTTAAAAGTCTGATATTTTTATAAGTTTTATTAGAGACTGCTTTCCATTGGATAATGCTGAATTTCAGGAAGGTAACTAGTTGACTCTTGAATACAGCTGTTATTGGTATAGAAGTAAATGTTATTGATGCTCTATGTAAAATATTAGGTTTGTCTTAATGAACTGAAAAGTTTTTTATAACTGGACTTTTACTATGTAGATTTATGCCTTAAAAATAGATATGAATGGATATTTTTATAGGTACATTTACTGTGTGTTAGATGTAATGAAACTTTGCATTTAATTGTCCCATAGCATAGAATGAATCATTAACTCTTAATTTGTCCAATCTAAATATTTTATTTATTAGGTTTGCTTAGCATATTCTCCCTCCTTTTTCATTTTTCAGCTTCATTGAAGTATGTTTGACAAATAAAATTGTAAAATACTTAAGGTGTACAACATGATGATTTTATATACATATACATTGTGAAAGGATCCCCCCATCAAGTTAAGTAACACACTCGTCACCTCACATATTGATCTAGTTCATTTTTTGTGATAACATTTAAGTTCCACCCTCTTAGCAAATTTCACTTATACAATCTAGTGTTATCAACTACAGTCACCAATGTTTTCCTCCTTTCTGTTCCCAAGTTCCCCTTTCTTCCCAGGCTCCTTTTCCCCTTTTCTTATCACTCTCAGCCCTGTTTTCTTTTCTGACTATCCTTATCCTGTATATACTTTTTTATTTTTACTAATTATTTGTGTATTGTTGCATAAGTATTTTTCTTTACAAAACAATCCTGTAATTGTCTTAACAGATTACAATTTTATATTTAAAATTTGTCCGGGAAATCAGACAGTGCTCCATGACTTGCTCCATGCTAATGACTTAGTTCCCTTACTCTATTAAAAAAAGTACATTAGAGAAACAAGTGATTGTTCTTTCGTCTTTATTCACTTGAATTAACAACATACCATATTTGCCGGCGTATAAGACGACTGGGCGTATAAGACGACCCCCTAACATTTCCACTCAAAATACAGAGTTTGTTATATACTCGCCGTATAAGACTACCCCCTCTTCCGCACACCTTCCACACACCAAATAAAAGGTAAAACAATATCAGATTTGATTTCAACATTTTAATTTATATTCAAATGCTTATGACATACAGGAAAACTGTCACAAGGCTGTATGTAATCAAACATATACATAAAACAGTGCAAGTTTATTACCGGTAA